GGCTAAGGTGGAACAAGCCTCCGGAACGCCGCTTCTCACTGCCGGAGCGGGATGGGATTATGTAATATTGTGTATTTCTAAAAAAATTAAGATGATAACCAAAGTTTTATTATATGAACATACTGAGCTACCAGTGAGACAGAACTCATACAAAAATGTAGGTAGACATGGGGGGGGGGCCCTGTATTTCACCACAATCGTATCATGAATATTTATCTGATGAAGTAATCTTACGCAGAATTTTTGGTCTTTCAACACCTTATCATAAAACATGTCACATTTGATATATTTTTTTTTGACAACCACAGTTTCAAAGAGGGATCCTCAAACAGAGTAGTTTTCTTGAAAACAGGACAAAATTTACATTCATATTAAATCTGGAAATTGAAAAAAAAATTGTCCCATTTAAAATAGTACGTATGGTCAGTCTAACTGTGGGGTGAAACAGATGGGCAAAACAAAGTGACCTCCAGCTACTTTGAAGGTGAGGCATTTCTATGATGCATACCTCCAAAGCAGGTAGAAACTGAAATTAAGCCATGCTCCAATGCTAAACACTAGAGCAAAAATAAGCTGGGATACTCTGGCTTAGCTTGAAAAATGCACATTTTCTTGCCTGTTTATATGCAGCCCAGTGTCAGTGTGGGGCTTTAGCAAAGCAAAACAATGAAAGTGTGACAACTGTAATTGATGTAATTGCAATGTACACAAACCAGTCTAATGGGGGCATGGGGTGAAGGGGGATGAAGGGGGCATGTATTGGGTTCCCCCCCCCCAAGATTGTGCTTTGCCAATGTATCACTCACACACCAATGTACTGATGGCCTGCACTGGCGGAGCATCACATATGCATATTCATATACAACTGTGTGGCTGATCAAAGGGGCAGCCATGTAATGGGATGGCATCTAGGTGGACATGGGAGGTACTTGTAGATCACAGGTGGTGTGTTTGTGCAACAGCGTGCATGTATGGTGGGCAACAATAACAAAAAAACCCTAGTAGGGTGGCCTGATGCCATGCCATGTGGTCTGCCCATGGGTATTTGGCCTGCTGTGTGGACAATGGGGTTTTGACCCACTTTGGGAAAAAGCAGGGCCAAGCTGCTTTTTCCCACTTGTCTGCTCCAGCCCTATGATCCAGTTTAAGTGCTATTGTTCCATCCTATGGAATCCTGGGATTTGTAGTTTTGGCAAGATGCTAGACTTCTCTAGCTGAGAATTCTAAATATCCTTCCCTAAACTTCATGTCTCAGGATCCTGTAAGATGTTGCCATGGCAGTTAAAGTGGAGCCATATTGCTGCAATTATGTAGTGTGAAAGAGTCCCAGGTCTCAAAGGAGTTTCCCAGGACTGGAAATCTGTAAAAAATAAATCCCAAACCTACAAGGAGAATATAGTGTGGAGCTCTGTGTTTTCAGATGAGACCAAAGAGATCAAAAGAGCTGCTCATTCAATATCATGATGTTTAGCTCCCAAGACACCACTTGCTGCATTTATATAACCATAATAATTTTGAATGTTCTTTTAGATTTAGAAAACAGAGGGATTATTTGGGCAGAGGTTGGGGGGGGGGGGCTGTAAACTCATGAGAAGAAATAGGAAAATTATACATTTTCTCTCAGACCTCAACAGTCTGAATCACAGATAACAAGAGAAGGGAAGTTAAAAAAAAACCATAAAGATATCTTCACACAGTTTATAATGAAGCTATTGTACACATTGCTACAGGCTGTTGTGAAGTAGCCAATAATATATCCCTAATTTTAAAGCTAAAGGACCCTTTCCGTGAATGGAAATGACAGTAGACCTTTGATAAATGGGAGCAGGGTGGTTCTAGTAATTTTTGCTCATTTTCCTTTCTTTCTGCAGCATCTTCCTCTGCTAATTCCTGTGCCATCTCTCATAGTATTCCAGAGCACAGCTCACTGAATTTAGGTACAACCCACTAAAGAAAGACTTACCAGTAGCTTTGTTATGTGCCTTCAAGTCTACTCTGACTTATGACAACTCTATAATTGGGTTTTCTTGACAAGATTTATTCAGAAGAGGTTTGCCACTGCCTTCCTCTAAGGCTGGGTGTGATGTTTCCAAGGTCATCCAGTGGGTTTCTATGACTGAGTAGGGATTTGAACCCTGGCCTTGGACTGTCAAAACCACTTCTGAGTATCTTTGTTTAAGAAAACCCTATGAAATTTAGGAGAAAACCCATAAGTTGACAGGTGATTTGAAGACACATACATGCACACTCCCAGAGTCCTAGTCCAACATTCAAACTGCTACTGCACCATGTTGACTCTCTACACCAGTACGTATTAGCCAATATAAATAAAACTCTTACCTCTTGTATTTCAGGTCAGTGTTATCTCTAATGACCTGAATGTGGGAGTGAACCAACAAGAGACCTCTGTCATCATCACACTCAGTTTCCAAACTTCACCGTAGCATCTACTAAAAGAGAATGACATTAAGTGGAGTCCCTTAAAATAGCAATGTTTAATTTTCTGATGTACTCAGACTTATTTTTTAATTAATTTTGTTGTTTTAAAAAATAATTGAAGTTTTAAATTTTTATAAGGATTACAAAATAATGTTTGCACTGTGAAGAAAAATCAATACCTAAGTAAATATGAGGGGGATTTTTAATTTAAAAAATGCAGATGTGTTGCCTTGTTTATAGGAATAATCCTACAAACCATTGGCAATTATTGCCTTTTAAGTATGAGATAATATCTTTCAAACATTTTCATAGACCAGTCTTGCCCAATCTAGAGCCCTCCAGATGTATTGTGCTATCACTTTCATCATCTTCAAACAGCCAAAGCCAAAGATTTTAAACTGCTTATATTATGCTGGTACCTTATTGTTGCAAAATTTGATTTCTTGTTTTAACATTTAAAAAATTGTTATCTCGTTTCTTTAAACAATGTGTAGTTATCTTATTTAAGGAAGGAGTAAGGTGGTGGAATGTCTGCTGAGCATATTGAAAGGTGCCTGACCCATGTCCAAATGGGTATTGGATTGGCCAATATGAGAAAGTAAAAGAATAAAAACAATAAGAGCTTAGGGGAGTAACAGAGAAGCTATTAAAATACAAGTTTGAAAATACATTTGATTGCCTAGTGAGAGGAAAATCAAAACTCAAAATTAAACAGCCAAAAGCCTCCTCTAAATTAAACCTGGGCAAGCTGACATGTGCTACTAGCCAACAATGGTACAAACTAGAGCTGGGAAGATTTTTGTGGGGCACAAGTGGCCATGATGAGTGGAGGATTCTAGGAGTTATGGTCCCAAAATTGGCCTTTTCCAAGCTCTGGTGTGATCAGAATGGCTCTCTCCCTCTTATTCTTTTGTTGCCAGACAAAGACCTTTTTATCTCAGCAGACTTTTAAAACAGAAGTATTGTTTTGGGTTCGAGTTACCTACAGGATCATCTCTTCCCATATAATCTGCCACATACATTCAGGTCCTCTGGTGGATATTTACTCCAGTCAGCCAGGACTCGGTTGACAATTGTCAGCCAGAGGACTTTTTCTCCAGCTGCCTTGAGACTGTGGAATGACCTGCTGGAAGAGATTCGATAGCTGAATAAGATATTTTTGGGAGAGCCACCAGACAGGGTCCTTTCAGTGGCTGTTCCCAGGCTGTGGAGCTTCCTTCCTAGAGAGGTCAGATTAGTGCCCTCCTGGTTAGTTTCTATAGGTAGGTGAAGACTTTTTGTTTAGTTTCAGTAAACCTTTGAGGACTGATTAGTAGTGGTGGTCTGTCATAATGTGCTGTTTTGTCTATCTTTGTTCTTTTTCTTTTAAATGGCCATACTTGTAACTGTTTTAAATCCTATTGACAGTTTAATTTAACAATAAATGATGTGAACATTTAGCAATATCCATTTTAACATTTGTAAGCTGCCTTGAGCCTCAAACCAACAAAAAGATAGGGTCTAAATAAATAGAATAACAACTGCAGTGACTGAATAAGGCTGGCAGGAACCAGGAGGAACCTAAATACCCTAAAGGCACCTGATCATGTCTGATCTTGGAAGCTAAGTAGGATGAACCCTAGTTAGTACATGTTATGGGAAATTGCCAACAAATTCCAGGTGCCGTAGGCTATATTTCAGAGGAAGGTACTGGAAAAACCACCTCTTTGTATTCCTTGCCTAAGAAAACCCCACTAAATTAATG